GCATATTATGGACTTGCTAAGAGCCTCCTATCTCCCTAAAGCTATAGGAATTATTCACTGTCGGTCCCATCAGTCTGACAGTTCTATTGTTTCCAAGGGAAATAACCGGGCTGACAGAGCAGCTAAGACAGCAGCACTTAGTTCAGACCTGCCTCAGTTACCTCAGGGAGTCCTAACAGCATAGCCCACAACCCCGCAGACATCTCCTAACACTCAACAGATCCTGTCCTACCTACACCAGCTTTTTCATCCTAATGAAAAGCTCTGCTTCATTTTGTAAAAACACATATCAAACCCACGCCTGAGGACATCAGGTTTCTAAAAGCCACCACTGCCTCCTGTCAGATCTGCCAAAAGTCAGATCGCAGGACTAAATATCGTAGCTTCCCTTTCCCTACCCACCAAGCAAGGGGCTCCCTTCCGGGAACTGACTGGCAGCTGGATTTTACTCATATGCCCACAGTCAGGAGAATTAAATATCTCCTGGTTCTGGTGGATACAATGTCTGGGTGGGTTGAAGCCTTCCCCACCTCTAACAAGAGAGCCCAGACAGTCTCTGATATTCTTCTCTGAGAGATTATTCCTTGGTTTGGACTCCCAACTTCTCTTCAGTCAGATAACGGTCCAGAGTTTACTTCTCAGATTTCTCAAAATCTGTCTAAAGCGCTCGGAATCCCTTGGAATTTTCATATACCGTACCATCCTCAGTCATCAGGTAAGGTAGAACGAACTAACTGCTCTTTAAAGGAAGCCCTCGTTAAGATGTCACAAGAGCTCCACCTTGACTGGGTAAGACTCCTACCTTTAGCTCTTCTCCGGCTCCAAGCCCTTCCAAGGGGCCCCCTCCTCATCTCACCCTTTGAACTCATGTACGGGCGGCCGGTCTTAACCCCCGGCTTCTCATCGGAGACCTCTCCCCTTCCTGACCACCTGCTCACTCCCCTCCTTTTCCACTTATGCTCACTACTGTGGGACTTCACAGATCACTCACTACCTCGACCATGTGCTAATACATGTCCACCGCCGGTTAAAATAGGAGATAAGGTATTACTCTCACCCCCAGGCCAGCGCCCTTCACCTCTTTCCCCCAAATGGCAGGGCCCTTTCAGAGTAATTCTTTTAACTCCCACAGCTGCCAAGCTTGAAGGAATTCCTCATTGGATTCACCTGTCACTTCTTAAACCATTTATCTCCACAGCTCAAGATAATCCTTCATACACGGTAACTCGGACCGGACCTTGTTCTCTTAAGTTCCAAAGGACGCCGGATTCAGTCCCCTCTACTACAGTCTAAGGAAAACAGTGGTCCCCATCCGTCGCTGTGTTAACACACCCTCCCTTCTTTAAATTCATAAATAACAATTTAGCTGTCGTTACAGGTACCATCATCAAATACGGAGTCAAGGGCTCAAGTGGTAAGCAGATTCTCCTCAACAAAGTTCTTTGACAAAGCAGGTCAGCCGCTGACTGCAGCAGTGGCCCCTGAAATGTTAAGGAATATATGGCTAAAGTCTATTTCCTTTAAGACACTCTCTTTAAGCTCCAGGATGCCAGCCCAACCCATCTAAACAAATCAAACACAAACGGAATAACGGAATAAGTATCATTTATTTTTTTATCATTCTTAACCCCGGACATCCTAAGACTCCCTTACCTGGATCTCCTCTCCCCCCTCACCCCAGCTCCCCCCCCCCAAAATTCCCTTAGATCCCCCCCCTTTTTTAATTTTTCCTTTTACTAATGCAACTTTTGCCTTCCAGCATCTTAATGATGACCCAGCTACTCAGGAAAAGCCAGACAGATTTCTTCAATCAGCCACCCCAGACGACAGCCAGGACTTCAAATGCCAACGGTACAATCAGCCATCCCAGACACCAGCGACCTCAGACACCAGTGACCAGCTACACCAGCGACCGCAGACACCAGTGGGACATAGCCAAAATAATCGGACATTTCCTGGACCCCTCAACGCCCAAAGCCAGCAGGAAGCAGCCATGAGAGACCGGACTACGCCCCCATTCCCTACCCTTTAAGGTCCCCCAATTTTTTTTTAATCAAACCAAAAGGGTGAAATGTTGTTCTCTTGCAAGACCACAACTCCCAGCATTCCTCTGGATTCCAGCGCACGCAAGCGCGGAACACATTTCCCAGAAGCCTTTGCACTCCCCATTAAAAGCAAAGGCCGCCACGAGTTCGCTCTCTTCTCTCCCCTGCCTTTCCTACCGTGTCTGCACACCCCTTACCTGTCTGTTACCCCTCCCCCATTAAAGTGCACCCACGTGGGACCGCCGCGTGTCTGTGTCTTCTTCCTTGCGTAACGTCTCTACCATCTAACCCACAGAATTAAGAACAACAAGGCATGCTGCTACCCTCTGCTGCTAGGCTGCTTTCTATCCGTCTGAATTGGATCTAGCTGCTTAGTCCTCGTGTTGCAGACAGTGCAAGCTCCTGGCTGGGTTCTTCCTCTCTCTGTCATTCTATTGGATATCCATGGTTCTTGGTTCCATACTGTTTGGTCAAAAGTGAGACCCCAGCCCCTTGACACCCCTATATCCAAAGACTCTGGGATGTTTGGGTTGGAAGTGTCGCCCCAGGCCCTGGTATCCATCCTTGGAACACAATGGAAAAAGAATGGAGCCGAAAGCTCCCTTTCAAGCCCCCTTCCCCTGGGTGTTGTCGACACTCCACTCTGGGAAAGCCTGCCCAGCATTGATCCCTCCCCAAGAAGGGCAAGGACCACTTCCACGGGTTATTTAGGCTGCTGCCCAGAACAGGAACACACGGTCTCCAGGTTTTGTGTGATCGTCCTGGCCCTGTCCACTCTCTTTTCCTTGCCATGCTTTTCCGGGGCACCCAGAAGCGCTGCATTAAACGTGGGCATCTTTTATTAGATCTAATTTGGTCTGAATGGAATTATTTGCGTCGGCCGAGAAGCTTGTCTTAAAAATATTCCCAACACATACTTCCTTCAGGCCCTTTTCTTTTTTCTTTCTTTTTTTAAAAAAATAAAATATTACCCTCTTGTGGTGCACTGCTCTGTTGGCTTACTGACTCCATTTCCTGTATTTCCTATACCTTTTCTGGGTTTATGCTTTATTTATTGAGAAATTATCACAAACAACTATTTCATACATTCACTTACCTTTTTTAATTCCTTTCACCCATTATTCTATGTGCTACATGAAACCATGATTCTGTGCTTTTTGTCTACCTTCTATAATGCCGGATCATATACTGCTTCTTAAAAAAACCTACTTAATAAATGGAATACATTCTTACCTTAGAATGAAAATATGAATTTTTGAAAGCCCTCTGTGGGTCAAAGGATTTTCCTCATCTTGCCAGGTAATATTGTACTTGGCTAGAATGGGCTCTGGCCATCTGGGATCTCTTTAGTATTCCACTCATTAAGGTAGAACAACCTCCAGATTCTATCAACTGGTCATGCAAAAAGGAAGTTTGATAAGAAAATGAGTCAGCATATTTCTTCCTGCAGTTCTTACAAGTGTTCGGTTTCTCAATATGCTTTTCCTGTTGGGGCTCCCAGTCCCAGAGGGAGGCCACTATTCCTGCATGTTAGCCCTGAATGAGGGCTGTTGATGTCCTGGCCCCAGTGCCCTCTGCCGGAGCTTCCTCCCTGCCAGGGACTTATCCTACAGGTTCACAGGGTCTCTAACTGCCCACTCTCCCTCTGCTTGTCTAGAAGGTTGGAGACAGATTTCCTTTTTGGGTTTAGCCAAAAAGACAAACAGAAAGTTCAACAAGACTCAGTGTTATAGAAAGCACTGCACATCAGGAATTTCCTTCTGCAGCCCATCCCTCTGTCAGGTGGTAGCTGCTAATGGTTCTGCTTTAGTCCACTCAAAATCAGAGTCTGCCAGTAAGTACACAAGGGATAGGCATAGTCTCAGATAGGTGACATGCCTACTTCCTAAATCTCAGCCCTGTTAAGGGGAACAACTTTTCTCAATATGATATGTTCCTGTTAAGGGGAACAACTTTTCTCAATATGATATGCTAAAGTCTTCGAAAATTCCCTTAGAAACACTAAAATGTTAAAAATTCCCCAACTTGTTCCCAACATTCTAGCAGTTCAGAATGTATGATTCAAATATTTGATATTTAGTAAAGTCTTTAAAATTATTTGCACTTGACAAATTTTAAGAGCAGCTGGATGTGTAGTGTTGGAACGAAGCAAAATTAAATGACTACAGTTGGGTTGAACTTTTGAGAACAAATTGTAAGTCTTTGTTGCTTAGAACCCCTCTGCTTCCTGTTAAGAATGAATACAAATCTTGCTATTAACCAAGTTAACTATTCAAAGCAGCTACAGGATGTTGGGCACGGAGAATGTGAAGAATGCAGAGAATGCCCTCTGTTTTTCACTCCTTACTAAGCAAGGAAGGCAAGCATACCTCCACCTCAGGGGGTCCTTGCTGAAAGGGGAAGAACTTTCCCAGCTGCAGCTACAGCCCAGCTCTCTGATGGTCCATGGAAGTGGAGCTGATCACAAAGTTGCTTTGTTTTCCTAAAGACCCCACCACTTTTTCAGCTCCGTAGCTTCCTGAGATAAATGTGGATGCAAGGTTCAAATGGCTGGCTCTGGAGGTCATTACCTTTGATGAAGTACAAACCAAACTCTAAAAAAATCTTACATTATATAGAAGGGAAATGGAGAAATTGACATAATCACCCTGGACCATAGGTTCCACTACAACTTTTTGTTTGTTTGTTTATTATTTAATTTCCTGACTCCCTCGGTGTTATTCCTCTGTTTCTTAACTGCCCATTTGGCACAATGAGAAACCCACTCATTACCCCGACCAGTTCCATCTTCATAATTGCACTTCACTGAGCATTTCCATCCAGGGAGGCACTGAAAAGTTAGTGTCAGCCACATATCCAGGCACTATATATATATAGTACAGCTAGAACTTTAAGAAATAGCTTTCCCATCATAAGTATAAAAATGAGGAAAGAGTTAGTAACTCAGATACTTACCAGAATTTCCCTGAAAACTTTTTTATTCCAGAAGCTTGAAACCAGTCACTTTAAGCTGTGTTTTCTTATTTTTCTTCAAATACAATTCTAAGGATCTTATTCAAAAACAAAACCAAACCAAACCCTGAGGCATTCAGCTGCAAAGTCCTCTGCCTTCCGAGCCCAGGCCCTGCCGACTCTGGAGCAGCATCAGAATGAGGAAGAAGTTTCGGTTTTGTTTTAGCTCTCAGTCTGGAAGAGAGTTCTTCCTAGGACTGGCGAGTGTGGCACAGTGGTAGAACACTTACTTAGCATTAATGAGGCTTTGGGCTTAGTTCCCAGTGCTATGGTAAACAATCAAACAAATAAACACATTATTAAAAAAGTATCAGCAAATGAGAGCCATTGATAGCAATTATTCACCAGGTGTATTTTTAAGTCAAAAGAGCTAAAGCAATTGGAGAGAACACAAATACAAAAAAAAAAAATTCAGGAAAAAATATGATCTTGATGTGAGCTGAGCACCACACTTATGGGTTGAGTTCTACCTTCCCCAACTCCATATACCAAAGTTCTGACTCTAAGAACATGGCTGTGTTAAGTTGGGAGCATAGATCCCAGCCCCTCGCATCTTCCCAGCCCCAGGCCTGAGAGTCCTATTGGTCTGGTCTCCAAATCCCAGCAGGCCAGGTCCCACTCCCACAGAGTATTTAAATAAACTCCCAAAAGAGGAACACATGGTCTCTTCTCCCCCCCTCCTGTTTGTGGCCTTCCAGTCCCCCCCCTCGGGGCCACCCAAGAGTACAGGACTCCCATCAAACCTGGATATTTTGACTTGTTTTTATTTGGCTTGATTGGGAATTTGCTGTTGGCAGAGAGCTTGCATTTGGAAATATACCTAACATCTTGGAGGTCACCAAGAAAGGGCGACCCTTTCCACGTGGTTCTAGACCACGTGTTGAAAGCATCCTAGTCTACAATCTGAGTTCTCCATACCACACTTAAACTGGCTTCTGGGATACAGGGCTGCATTTTGGTGAGTCCCTTTTCTTTCTTTCTTTCTTTCTTTCTTTCTTCCTTCCTTTCTTTCTTTCTTAAAGATTTTCTTTATTTATTATGTATACAATGTTCTGCCTGCATGACAGAAGAGGGCTCCAGATCTCATGACAGATGGTTGTGAGCCACCAGGTGGTTACTGGGAATTGAACTCAGGACCTCTGGAAGAACAGACAGTGTTCTTAACCTCTGAGCCATCTCTCCAGCCCAGTGAGTCCCTTTTCTTGTCTGTGCTATATAGGGTTTTGGGGGGGACCCATTTGTACTTATTTTTGTCGTTTTTCAGATTCCTGTTAAGCCACAAGCTTGCGCCAGGGGCTTAATTCCCAGTAGCGGCCAGACCGGTGGGCAGGCCTCAGCTAAGGTGATTTGTTTGTTTTGGGTCACCAAGCATTCAATTTCCACCACCCCATTTGGAGCTAAGAGCCATTTTGGCAGATGTGCTGGAGTGTACTTAGGTCACGTTGTTGGGCATAGACTTTAAAATGGGCACTTGCAGTTCAAAGCCAGATCCGCTGTTGCCCCTGGGATGCCTCTTAGAGAATCCTTTTAAATTGGGCCTGTCCTAAATACCATCTGTCCCAAATGACTAATTTCTCTATGCACTAAGATTTGGCCTCAACCGTCCTCTGGGACTTTAAAACTTTTTGCCACTGTAAAGACAAATGGACAGAGCTTACATATGTCCATGGTTTTTTGGGCTCTGCACTCTCGCCCCTCCTCCCCTGTAGTAGCCACTGTCCTTCAGAGGCACTGGCCCCTCCCCCACTCCCTCAAGCCCACACTACCCAACCCCCTCTTGTGGAGCAACATTCTTTCCTCTTCCTTCCCAATTCGGAGGTTCAAGGTCAACTTCCCCTCCCCCTCCTACCTCACCTCTCCACTGCTGAACCCCCTCTGCGCACTGGGCTAGCCTTCCCAATCCTCCCCATGTTCCCTTTTCTCTTTCAGATCTCTCTCAGATAGAAAAGCGGCTAGGTTCCTTTTCTACTCATCCTTCTGTTTACCCATTTTTTCTTCAGTAAGTATCAGATATTAGGCAAGAGTTAAGAAGGGTTGAGGAGGTTCCCCAAACTGGTGTAAATGGCCTTTAAAGTTTTTAATGCCCAAGAAAAATCAGCTGAGTCTTCCTGACAGACAAAGCTCTGGCCTTAGCAGCTGCCCTAATGTCACAGGAATGGGGGCAAGGGAAACCAGTCACAAGGCTTTACCCTAATAGAGCCCAGCCTAAGTCAACCTCACAGGCAAACTGTTTCAAGTGTGGCCTAAATGGTCACGTGGCACGATATTGCACTACACCTGCTCCGAGGCTGTGCTCTATCTGCCAGCAACCTGGACACTGGAAATCACAGTGTCCCCATGTGGGCTCGTCCTCTATGCCATGCCATGGAGGTCTGGCCTCACCAACATCAGCAAGTGAAATTGTGCCAGCACTCGAACTTCTCAGCCTTGCAGAGGATTGATGCTACAGAGACTTGGTTTATCCCATAATCCTATCCAAGCCTAGGGTAAAGCTGCAGATAGTGGGTAAGTCCATTACTTTTATTCTCACTTGGGCCTTACGTTCCCCTCACCAATTTCAGTTATGGGGATAGGCGGGACCCGTTCCTCCCCACTTCAAACATTACCACTGCCCTGCATTCTTGCAAGATAATTTTTCTCTCATCCTTTCTTAGTGATACCTGCTTGCCCAGCACCTTTACTGGGTGGAGATATCCTTAGCCACTTCCCCAAAGCTTTGTTCTGCTTCTTGGAGCCCCTTTTTGACCTCACCCATCTCCAAGATTCTATTTCACAGGTTCACTCCTCCTGCCAGATGTGTGCCCAGGCCAACCTATAAGGGGCTCTTCACATATGTCAGTCTCTACACCAGCTTCCCTGACACCAACCGGGCAAAGATTGGCAGGTTAACTTCATCCATACGCCTACTCATAAAAAATTCTGCTTCCTCTTAACACTTGTGAACACTTTTACAGGATGGATAGAAGCATTTGCGGTCTCCAGGGAAACAGCAGATGTGGTGGCTCAGGTACTCCTGGAACACATCATTCCTCAGTTTGGTGTCCCACAAACCATCCAGATGGACAATGGACTCATCAAACAAGAACTAATCAAACTCTCCAGTGAACTCAGTTTATCTTGTCCCTCCTTTCTTCCCATTGCCTTTACTCACCACAGAGCCACCCCACGTTCCCCCATGGGCCTGAGCTCTTTTGAGTTGCTTTATGGAAGGCCCTTTCTGCTTAACCGTCACCTCTCAATCCAAACTCCTCCACTGGTGGGGTACCTACCCTACCTCTCTCTTTTAAGGTTCCTTCTCTGTTCACACACTGACAGTTGTCTTCCTACCACCACACCAGTGGACCCTAATGCCCCTAAGCCTGCCCCGCTTTCCCCAGGGGACAGAGTACTCCTCAGTTAACTCCTAGGTCTCTCAAACCTCGATGGACAGGAACTCACACAATAATCCCCCGTCGGCTGCCAAGCTCTTGGGACATCCATGCTGGTACCATCTGTTGTTCTTAAAATGTGTGTTGGGGGGTCCCCCCCAGGCTCACGGAGCAGCAGCGAGCTCCAGTGGATCCCCAGTGGGGCAGGTGGGTGCAGGGCCCCAGCTCCAGAGTTCTGGCACCCAAGCAGCAGCAGAGTTCCCATCAGTGGGGGGCCATGCGGTGGAATTCCCAACACATGGTGGAATTCCCAACAGCTGTGGGCACATGTAAGCAGACCCATAGACACAGAAAATAGCCATAAAACATTTATTGAGGGAGAAATGGAGAGAGAGAGGAAGAGAGAGAGAGGGAGAGAGAGAGAAAGAGAGGGAGAGAGAGAGGAGGAGGGAGAGATAGAGAGACACATGTGTGCACGCCAAGGGAACAGGAAGGGAAGGGGGCAAGATGGCGGCAGGAAGGTCAGAAGTAATGGGAGTGGGCGTGGCTTGTCTCCCAAAGAGGAAGGAAACCACAACACCATCTCTCCAGGTACAAGTGGGCACCTACTCAAGACACTTGGTCTGTTCAGCAAACAGGACCTTCTACCCTCCGGTTTTCCAGGATGCCACAATGAAGGGCCTACCTGCTCCTCATTTTGACACACTCATCTTTGGTAATAACATTTTTTTTTCCTAGACACCTGCCTTCTCACCTCCCCCAAGGAACAAATGCCTGACATCTCTGAGATGGGATGCCTCTCCAGCCACACCTTGCAGGAAGTAGCCAGATTTGAGTCTACACCCTTTTTTCCAAAGAGAGCCTAAACGTTTATCATAATTATCACTTCAATTTTCTGTCATTCCTATATCCAAAGAGTCTAGAATGTTAAGTTGGGACCATAGGCCCCAGCCCCTTGTATCTATCCCAGCCCCAGGCCTGAGAGTTCTATTGATCTAGGTCCCACTCCCACAGAGTATTTAAAGGAACTCCCAAAAGAGGAACAAATGATCTCTCTCTCCCCCCATTGCGGCCTTCCAGTTCCCCCTCAGGGCCACCTGAGAGCGCAGGACTTTCATTAAACCTGGATATTTCTTAATTTGGCTTGTTTTAATGTTTTGATTTGACTTGATTGGGAATTTGCTTCTGCAGAGAGCTCATGTTAGGAAATATTCCTAACGGGCTGTATTTGGATGTAAGGTTTATTTTTATTTTTAAAAAGTTTAGACAACAAATGGAATTTGCATTATTGATGATATTTTGGGGCTGACTTAAGTACAAAAGTGAATTTGAAACAAAGCATATGCCCTTTACTGTGGGTACACGTGTGTTCATTTTCTTCTTGAGTTAATAATGTAATTACATTTCTCCCTTCATCTTCAAATCCCCTCTTATACCTCTCTCTTTCAAATTCATGGCCTCTTTCTTCTCACTATTTGTTATTGCATGTGCATGTATATACATATACATTCCTAAATATAACCTGTCCAATCCATATAGTGCTACCTGTATGTGTGTTTTCAAAGCTGACTATTTGGCATTGGCCAACAATTGGTGTACTCTTCCCTGGGGAAGGCCACTTTTCTCATTCCCAGCCTTCCTCAGTTGCCTGTACTTCTGTGAACTTTAGGTACAAGAGTGTTTTGTAGATGT